GAAGAAACTAGGTGTTTTCTTTCTAGGGGTTTTCCAGACCAAAGTAATTAACATCAGCAAGGCTTTGAGCAGTGTCTCTAAGTGGCCAACGTGACAGGTGCTAAATTAAACTGAAAACAAATTAATACTGCCCATGGAGTAAACACCGGATTCCATGAATATGCTTCAAGATGTTTTTTTCTGTATCATTTTGAGATATAGAAGAAACTCCTCATACGAGCATATGTATCTTCCAACTAGCAAATTCACTTCTATTAATTTAAAATCAAACTTGAGCTTTTATTGAAGACCACATCACAGCTGCAAAGAAATTTCAACATGGAATAGAGTAGAAACAGGGTGTTTGCTTGCAATTAACATTCTATATAGCTATTTGCAATCTCTGTTTGTACAAAGGATAACATTTCTCTCTAGGAGAACCTGAGCATGCAAGATGACAGCATGCATTCAGGAGACAATCTAATTTCACTGTGAGTAGAAGAAACTGAGACTTTTTTACACGAAAATATTTAGACTTCTAATCACCTTGATTCTGAAGCAGTGTCCTGTCTAGTGTAACAGAAAAAACAAGGAACTGCGTTAGCACACAGACAGTCCAAAATCAGGACTTAGAATAAAAAAGGCATTTCTACAAGCCACCACCAGTAAGTTATAGACAAAGTTACTTCAACAATGAGCTACAATGAATAACTATGCTGTTTTTAATCAATGAATTATCAAACCACAACTATATCATGGTACTTTATCAGGAAAAATCTTTTCTCATTAAGAAGTTATATAAATTTGCACAAGCAATAAGTACTACTTTTTAAAAACTATTACTTTCCTTTGACCAATTCAATTTAATTCAAGTATCGTTTATATTTAAGCTTAAAACCTTAAAAAGCAGTTTTAAGTGAGTAATAAAAATATCTTTTGATAGAAAGGAAACATTACAATGGATAAATGGATGCTATAAAATACATCATCATACAGAATTGTTTTCAAATATTAAACAGTAAAACAGTATTAAAAATTTCAAAATTAATTAAAAATAAAACAAAAAACAACTACTTTTCCTCCTTTTATCATTTCAGCTCTGCAAATGAATCCACTAGCCAACAAACTGATGGTAACAAAGATCTTGACTCCTTTTTCTGAGCATGCTTAGAAGCAACGTTCTAACATGCTTTTAATATTCAGGATAGTATGGGGAAAGGAGGCTCAACCTGAATTTCAATTTTCAAATTAATATATTTTAAAAAGCGATAGTATTATTAGCCTATATCCTTTCATGTTCTATTCCCTATCTGACTATGAATATTTAGAGATTCATTTTATACACTAATAAGATATAGAAATGGAAGAAAAGTATAATTAGCAGTATTAGGAACCTCCTTCCCTCATTATTCCAAGCAGTTCGACATTGTTATGTGTACATGATGTTTGCTCCAAAACAAATGGAAAGGAGAGACGTAGAGTTCAGAAAGCACTACATTACACCACGCTCACGGAGGTCTCTATTCTGAGAAAATACCCCCTGAAGTACTAAGAGTAAAGGATAAGACGCATCCAAATTATTTACACATGATCCAAACAAAGATATTTATATATAAACAAATATATATGGTATTTAATGAAACGGTAAAAATTTAAATTTAAAAAGACATTACAATAAGAGACGCACTGCCATTAATACCCGTACAAGTGCTCCCCCCTTTGAACACACTTCTCCCATTAACCTTGCCACTTTGTGAAGCAGTTCTGGAAATCCTTTCATGAGTGTCTTCAGTGGTACTGTCATGGCTGCCTCAATGTTAGGGATCAGCCCAAGATACTTACTTTCACTATCACTTGGATTTTGACCAAGAGCCAGAGCATTCATGGATGAGCCCCAGCCATGATGTTTTCATGGGCCTGCCTTTCTAGCGGACAACACTGGGCAGCAGCACTCACTGTAATTTTTTTAATCATGCCTATTAAAGACATGAAACATGACAAGAAATCAAGTGGCAGGAATGATGAGGCAAGTGTGCTCCAAGTGAAGGAGAAAATGTCAAGGACTATTTAGAGGAGGATTAAGGGACAATACATCCTCATTGTAATAATTCTTTTTATTTGAACTTTCACCATGCTTGTTTCATATATATATACATCTAAGAATATACAGATAAATATGTAAATGGATCAAAATGATAGAGCAAATGCAGCAAAACATAAAAAATGATTAATCCAGATAAAGCAAATCCTCTTACTATTTTTATAACTTTTCTATGAATTTGAAGTTACTTCAAAATACAATAAAGCCACTCTCATCGAGATTATAGTTAGGGGACAACCTGCTCAGGCCCCCCTACTATCCCTCTCTTGGGCAAAAACTTTCTTTTCCAATAAATATATTTTGCTCTAAAAAAATAAAAGATTATAAATAGTAAGTATATGTGTAAATGACTCATTAGTTGAAATAAACCTGAGTACATTTTGTCACTAATCTTACTACTCTGTAGCTATTCCTCAATAACGTACATGCATGTGCAACTGACAATGTACAGTAAGAGAGCACTCCTTTCGAAACCAAAAACTTAGAAACAAACACGTCCATCCCTAAGTGCATGGATGAATTGCAATCTATTAAGTAGAATACTATATACACTACAGTACAAATAATACCAAAATAAATCTCATAAGCAGGTGCTTTATCTTTGCATTTATATAAGGTGTTTAACTGATCATATGAGAAGTCAGTCTGGCAGTTGTGGGTGGGAAAACGAGAGGTTCTACAGACTGCTGGTGGCCTTCCATTCTCACCTGCGCAGTGGTGACACCGTGGTGGCCCCTCTTTGATGACCCATGGAGCTCTTTGCTTATGACTGGTGTACTTTTCAATAAAAGAGGTTCTTTTCCTAAGTATACTTTTGGCCTATTTTATGCTGTCAAGCTAAGATTATACAGAGAAATGCACAACAAAAAGGTTTTGACTTCTGAGACTTTCTCATAATCAAGAAAACATTTAAAAGACCTGAAAGTGACTCTTCACATTTAAATACATCCCCAAGAGAACCACCAAAAGTGAAGTTTTTCAACCAAAAACTTACAAATATTTACCCTTCAACCTCAATGCTTTCATTAGGTTGAGTGCTGAGGGCCATGGGAAACTACTGAGAAAAAGAATGCATACATCCAAGGCAGGAATTCCTAAACACAACAAATAACCTTATATTAAACAATATATATCACGTTTTTTTCAAAAATCACTTCTCTACTCTGCATCCTATTCTTAGCCAACCTCTGACCTTCCCACGGGCTAGTTCTATCCGTCACTTTTCAAACATGCTTCTGTTTCAGGAAGGAAACTAGAATTTCCCCTCACTCACTTTAAATATAACAATAAGACTCTGCAAACATGCCTAATTGAAAGAACTGTATTCCGATCAATAGGCAGTATTACAGAGATAAGGTCATGTGATATTTCAAGTATGTAAATTCTTTATTCTCTAAAATCATGGCATATTCCATATATATTATACGTTGTAGCTAACACTTCAAAAACTGCTTCCACAATGTCATCCCTGAAAAATCTTCACAATAAATTCTCTATTATCTTTACCAGAAATCAGATTCAATGCTCCAACATAACCTTGCACTAATCGAAGGCAAAGTTCAAAGGCACAATTATATTAATCCACTATTAATAATCTTTCTTAGAGTGAAAGTACATTGAAACACTTGGACAAAAGATACTCCAAAATAACTTAAGGGTTAGTCTAACTTGAGTAACTAATGAGGACTACCTGGTTATATGCTAATTTTTAGGATTTCCTATGTCTAAAGGAAAACAACAGGGACCACGGGTTTGATCCCTCACAGCACCTGCCCCACCAGCCCTATCCACGAGCATGCTGAGTCAGCCACCAAGAGGGCATGGTGGTGCATGCCTGTAATCTCAGCGCTAGGGAGGCTGAAAACAGGAGGATCACTGTGAGTCCAAGCTGTGTAGTGAGACCCTGTACCAAACACTTTAAAAATAAAAAAAGAAGCCAAAGACTATTCAAGATTTTGGTGGCACATGGTTGGCTAAGAGCATGGTTTCTTCTCCTTGACTATAAGAACTGCCAACTATCAAGCAACTAGAAGCAACCCAAATGTCCACCAGCAAGAGTGGAGAAAATGTGGTGCATTAAATGGGATACTATACAGCAACAGAAGTAAATGAGGCAAGCTAGATAGCAAAGAATAACAAATGCTACAGACTCTTGAGGCAACAATAACCCATTGGGAAGGGTTCCAACTCAGCTCACCACTTTTCAGAGGCTGTCAAGGCTCTACTAAAAACAAGAACAATTGATGCAAATTTGGTATAATTTCAAATAAAAAAGAGATTCTCCAAATATCACTACACCTAATTTTGTGTAGCCAAAGGATCAAAGATGTAATAGGTTATATGTATTTTCCATACCAGGAACAGAAATAAAACGAAATAGCCACAAGAGTCAAAAGATTCTGCCATGCTATATGAGAGTGCTTGTCAAAATGATCCTGTATCCAGAGTCAGAAAAGTAAGTGTCACTGAGAAACAAAAGCCATGCCCCTGCCTAGGAATTACTCCACATATCCAATATTGGACCTATCAGCTGCTTTAATCAGTGAGCTTCCCTAAAATCTATCCAGAGAGGCTACAAAAAGAAAAGCAAAGCCAGGGAAGGTTTGCTAAATATGTGTTAACACCACTCTTGCTCCAAACAACATAAAGTTTAGACTCTGGGATTTTGAGGTACAAAAACACAAATAATATGAAGAAAATAAAAAAAAAAGATAATCAAGTCATCAAAAGCTTTGAAACTACTGTTTTATAGCTCTCTTCATAAAATTAACTGGAATTGAAATCACTATATTAGAGATTAGAATGAGCACACAGAAAGATGCATAAACATCACTCCAAAATTAATCAGCCACTGTTTAGTAACTTATCAGCATATCACTGCAGAAAAGCCGGCTTTGCCAACAGAGGACACTGATCTCACCTGATTTCATGTTCATACTGTGGGGACAGTCTACCTGAATTCTGGTAAAAGCTTTTCAGGAAAGAGGGGGCAGAGAAGGAAGGGGCAGAGAAGGAGGTGTGGAGGCTTGGAAGACTGGAGGAAGAGTTACTCTCCTTGTGCATGCGTCGAGCTGATGGAAGGAGGCTGAGTACAGAAAATACAGCAAATCGGTCTTTATGTTTGGCAAAATCTTCATTCATTATGAAAAAGCATGCAAACAGGTTCTTGCTATTAATTTCCCCTTTGTGTCAAAGGCTAAGGGATGGATCTTACAAGGAAAAAAGAGAGAAGCATGCAGCTGTCTATGAGTAGACTGCCCAAGTTACACTCTGACTAACTGAATTCCTCATCTACAAAACATCTGTGTTCACCCCTAAATAAATAAATAAATAAATAAATAAATAAATAAATAAAATTCTTAATACATTTAGGACAAAAAGTGTGCAAAAGACACATCAAGGGAAAAAAATAGAAAACACAAATAATTACAGGAAAACAAGTTCCAGAAGGAAAATGGAATTAGAAGCTCGCTGATTTCAACTATTTCAGAGATATAGAGCCTTCTGAATATTGAAGGATGTGTTTGGCTGTTACGTCTCATTCTACCTTTGGCTTCTCCAATCCTAACATCATCTGTGCTCTTTCCTGAAGCCTGTGGAGTTGGATCATTATGGTTTAACTATGGATTAATCCAAAGTGCTAAGTCTCCCTCAAGTTCTTTTTTCCTAATAAGATTCTTTGAATGGCAAATTCTTGCAATGACACAATATCTTTTTATGTAGACAGAAACCATATGGATTTATAGTTTACAAAAACATAGAAGACATAGGGAAAAGCCGAAATATCATGTACCATTTGAAATAACATGTTTTAATTTGAAATAACTGATGTTTTAATTAATGAAACTAATTTTTCCTAGAAAGAAGATTTAGCGCCCTGAATGTATATAACTGAAGTAATCGTTTTAAAAATTATAGTATGCATAAGAACACTTAATCTTCTTCATACATAAATATCTGGAAAATTTATGCTGTTAACTCATTTCATTTTTATACTATAAATATTTTAAATTTTTAAATCATGCAGAAAACAGTAAGAATAAAACTGTACCCTTAGAAACATGCTAGTAAGCAGGGTGATCCTAACATTTAGAAGCTATTTCAAGTTTGAGCCCTGGATGGGCAATTTAGAAAATTTAAAAGGACTAGAAATATACTCAGTACAGATACTCTATGTACTACAACAATAACCAAAAAATGCTAATAAATTTGATAACACTTAACATAATAATTAGCCCTTTTCAGTCAAGTTGTTACTTGAAATTTTGTTTTCTTCTTTTTTCTGCAATGGCCATTCTTAGCTAATCCTGTTTTCTGTATCAAACCCGTAAGTAAAAAAAAAAATTTTTTTTAAAAAGAGAACTGAGATTAACTCTAAGATAGGATTGCAATCTGAACTACACAGTGAGAAACATAACCATTCCTCATGTCCAGGTTAGCCACTTCTACTATTTTTCATCAGATGGCAAATAATTTTATTATATTTTAATTATATAAGATCATTTATAATGCACATAGCCTACAATTATGGTACATAGACTTCTTTTAATTCCATCATCTTATTTTAGACAACCTTTGTAGCAATTTAGCTTTAATTTATTGTATAAAAAAAAATAAGTCAATTTTCTCACATACAAAGGTCTGCACCAGTGATACCTTAACCTTGGTAGGCTGCTATAGACTAACAGGAAATTCGACTGCCTTGTCATTTTCAAACTTGCTGACTGATTTTTTTGTAGCCAATGCTGAGACTGAGAAATATGTGTTGACATTAAGTTTCCAGGAGGGAAAAAAAAAAATGCATACTTTACTTTCTCTATTTTTCTAAGAGAAAAAAGTTTCTATCCAAATAACAAACTCTTCTTTCTGGATGTGCCTTAACCATGTCCCACTTCCCTTGGTCACTGAAGGAAAGCAAATCAATTCCCTTTTCACGATCTCTTAAAAACTCAATGCTAGTGACAGCATGAAACCACAACCCCCCTGACTCCCCGGTGACCAGGTGGGATGATCTGAGAACTCGATCTAGCATCTAGGGATGGAGACTTACCTGCACTGCTCGCTGGAACTCTGCCTCAGCAGAGGGGAACGCACCCCGTGAGCCCTCAAGTCCTGCAGGTTCAGCTTTCTCTTTGAACTTGATGGCGGGTGGCTGAATGTGTGTGCCCGTCTTCGAAACTGCGGGGAGTCGGAATCCTCTTCAGGGAAAGCTTGCCACGCTGAGGACAGCGGGGAGGCCGGTGGTGTCCCGGGTGGAGAATCCCCTGGTGAGTAGTCCTGAAACACAAGCACCAATGAGGTCTTTCTTTCCTCCCTGTGAGGGTCACAGCAGAGCTGCCGAAACTCAGAGGTCAATAGCCACAGGGCATTTCATCCTCCTCCTGAGTCATACAAAACATTTTTTCCCCTTTTAGTCAATCTATGGTGAAGGTTAATCAGTATCACCACAACCCAATGCTTCTGATAAGCAGCTGCAAGGCAGCATCCGTAGTAAAGACAGGCCAGAAAGCGAAAGGGATGATAAGAAAAGCTATTCTTTTCCCTAACACATTGTGGTCAAAGGCAACTACTCTTCTCATTGTTTCCACAGATGAAATGAGAAAGAGATCAAAGAAGGTGGAGTCTGTGTTTACATGTCTCCTAATTTCTGTGATATGTCATTGCACACTTCCTGTGCTGTCAGAACAATGTCACAGTGCCTAAGTGTCCGGGTCTCATGGCAAAGCTCTTAGGAAAACAAAATGAAGTTTGTCAAAGATCTTTCTTCACTCTGGATGACTCTACCCAAGCCCACTTTTGCTGGGGTAAGCGCCTATAAAACACATGAAAAACAGGAAATGAATGGAAAGTCCGCTGTGCTGGAATGCGTGTCCTACTGCATCAACAGCAGAGACCATAAATCTTTCAATTCAGTCAAGTATGCTGTGTACACTTTCCTACACCGACAAGCACCAATGTAAAAAGGTTTAAGCCTGATAAACATGGGTTAGGGACAGTAGCCTCATAGCTAGGCTAATTCCACCAAATCTATCAACAGAAATGTTTAATACAACATTTTAATATTGTCCCATTTAAAAAAAATACTGCATAGGGGCTGGGGAGATAGCCCAGTAGAATAAGCTCAGGATCCTGAGTTCAATCCCCAGTACCACAAAAAAAAAAAAAAAAAAAAAAAAAAACCTGCATAAGCCTCAGGTTACATGTTGCACAATACAGAGAAAAAGAAACTAAACCTACTGCAAGTTATCTAGGACATGGGGCTGTCGTCGCCATTGATATGACAAAAAACTGAGGGAAAATCTAAAATGGGGGAAAACAATAAAGACACCAAAATCACTGTACCGGTGTGACAATCAAGTTTTATATAGATTTGGATCGATGGCTGATCAAATACTGTCCTGTCTACCAGTGGAAACGCCTGCAAGAGCTCAAGTGGCCTATAAGGGATGCGCTCTCTCCTTGCAAAGGGAAAGCTTAGCTGAATAACGCATTAACACCCAGGTTCTTCTCACTAAGATTTTTTTCTTACTAAGATATTATTTTTTAAAGCCAAAAAGGACTAATAAATTAGGCATGCACATTACTGTATCAGTGAGGCGCTTCGCAGTTTGCAGTAAAGAGAAGGGCGCTCTGATTAGGTACCTTCTCCGAAGCAAGGCTGTTGGACCGTTCAAAGCTGTCCACACTTCCAAGCCGGCCTCTCATTCTGCTGGCTCCCTAGTGAAGAGAATAAGGGCGAGCTTTATACAGGGTGCACTTTTATGTTCAAGCTACAGAAGGCACTTCGTGGCTCCTCCACAGCAGTGTCCTCTGGCCTCCGCTCCTCTGTCAGCTGTGAGGACGGCAGGTACCCAGATGACAGTATTCCCCATCTACTGCCATTATCTCTAAGTTGGTTATTAGATAAGATACTCAGATCACGCATTATGATGTTATTTTGGCTACAAAGTTAAACATTATTCATCCATAAAATCAGCAAGAACTCCATTAATTTTGCATCTCGTAAAATAAATACAAATGTGGAGGGTACAGCAAATCAAACCCATGAAGTGATAAAGATAATGGCTTAATGCTTAGCCAGCATAATCTACATTGCAGGATTATAACAGAGGTTGAAAATAAAATAGAAAACTTTCAGAAAAATTATTAATTTTGCTTCATTCATTATTGGTGAATTAGTTCTACTTTTTTAGTTCTGAGGATGAAACCCAGGGCCTCCCCCATGCATGCAGTCTACCACTGAGCTATATCAGCCCTTTGCATTTTTATTTCTGAGATCAGTGTCTTGCTAACTTACCAGGCTAGGTTCAAATTTACAAGCTTTCTGCGGCAGCCTCCTGAGTAGGCAGGATTACAAGTGTGAGCTGCCAACCCCGCCATACATTGAATCCTCTTTCTCTGGTGTAGGTATCAAAAGCAATCAGAGAGGACTGTAAGATCGTCTTGCCTATTCCTCTCATTTTACATAGGAAGTATGACTAAAGAAGGAAAGGACACTAAGGAAAGTTACGAACCACATTATTTCGAAGGTCTTCAGAGCCTAAGTGCAGACTGGGGAGCTCTATATAACTCTAAAACAAAAGTGAAAAAGTTCTAAAAGAAATGACTAAAAGTAAAGATCAGGTTGATATGACAGCGCTAAAGGAAAACACGTACAGCATCTGCACAGTACTCCACAGTTTTAAAGTTTGTCACCAAACATATGTGGCTTTAATGGAGGAAGCAGAAGAGAGTGATTCATTTTAGTTTTTAAAGTAATACGTACACAAAGTTTCAGAAGTCCCCAAAGCTTATAAGGTGACAGGAAGCAACTTCCTCTCTGATACTTTGAAACTCATTGCCCAAAACCAAATCTTGAAATCATTTATATTGATGCTTCCAGAATTCACCTCATACCACTGTTCCCGCAGCTTTCCATTTCAGGCTCTAGCTATTGACTTCTTATTCTAGAGGATGCCATGTTAGCACTCACTGTATTATCCAACTCTACTCCTCACACCCCCTCTCCCTCCCTCCCTCTCTCCCTTTTTCTCTCCTCCCTCAACATACACAGCCACATCAAAAGTTTCACTAAACCAGTGGCTTGTGCTTAGCTTATTACAACTAGATAAATGCCTTTGCAGCTGTTACACATTTACAAGTACTATATCTAAGTACATCTCACCGTTTGTACATTCGTTTCTCACACAGTAGTTAATGACTCCTTCAGCAACCAGGAGTTTATTACAAAACGTTCCAGCAGCTCAGAGTTTGGCCAAATATCACATAATACATCAATTAGAGATTTTGTTCTTTATCTTTGAGCTAATCTTTATGCAGACGTCTGCATTCCTGCCCTAATCTGAACTCACTCTACAGATTTTGCTAGTTCACCGCTCACTCTCAACCTAGAAATTTCTGTGTCCCTGCTCCTATGACTCCCTTTTTGGTTTTTGTACTTTACTTCCTCCTTTTGGTTGAACACATTCTTCAGGTACTTTCTGAGAAAAAGGGAGACTGGGTACTTTAACCTACATTCCTGTAAATGGCACTGTTCTCTGTTTATATTTCATTTCTAGTTTTGCTCAGCACATCATTCTTCTTGGTAATTTCTTTTGTAACATGTCAGCATCAGGCAAGGCTTCTTTGCTTCAGAGGTCAATTGACACTGTGAATCATGATCCGGTGTGTAGGACCAGTTCTCTTTCTGATACAAACTTAAGTTTACTTCTGGGCCCTCTGAAACTTCACAACAATTTTTATTCAGTTGTTCTAATATACACTCTCTGAACCCACTAAGCCTGGAAACTCATATTCACTAACTCTTAAGAAAATTTTTTAAATTATTTCTTTAACACTTTCCTACATGCATTCTCTCTTTTTAGAGCACACACCATTTGGCTTTTGGATTTCCAGACTGATTGTTCAAATTTTTTGCTTTGTTTTTATTTCCAATACTCTGTCACCGTGCTCTATTTTTTTAAATTTATGTATTTATTATTTATTTATTTTAGCTGTAGTTTCCTAGGTTTCTAGTGAATTTCCTTTATCTCCTGCAGAAAGTTTCACGTGTTCTTGTTTTCACCTAACATTTTTATGTGGACAATAGCCTCTTATTTCACAGAAACAGTATTTATTCTTTTCCATACATAATGTAATTAGCCTTATAATAGTTGTAACAGCCATATCACTAATAAAATGAATAGCTGCAGCTGATGTGAATCAATGCTTACCATAAGCTGCGATAAGCATTTTGTCCTCAAAACCCTCTGAGCAATCCACGGTTCCGCCAAAAAAAAACCCTCTGAGGCAGCTATAATTATTGAGCTCAACTTTACAGACAGAAACAGTGAAGTTCGGATAACTAATGCTGTCCAAATTTTCACAGCCACAGAACAGAGGAGCTAGGTGAACACAGAAAGCGTAATTTTAAATGAAGTCTCGAGCTTTTTCTCAATACTGCCTCTTTAAAATAGTTTAAGACAGAATTACAAATAAAACTAGTTAAATTTGTTTAGAACTATGTTAGTTAAGAGAAATTTTCCTAATGTCTTAATAGCTCTTCGACGTTCTTGGAGTTCTTAAATTCTGTGCTATAACTAACATACTTCTAAGAATAAACTAATATATCACTGGGTTAGGGCACGTGGTAAAGAGGAAAACGGTGAACATTATGCTGCTTTCTGGGATTCTTTTTACCTGCTCCTTACACGGCAACATGTCTGGTACCCCAAACAGGCGATGTGCTCAAACCAGAAAGTAGTCAAAGGGGTACTAACCACTTTCATTATCAGCAAAGCAATTGAAATCATACATTTTACTCTGAATCTGTCATTCTTTTTTTTTTTTTTTTTTTAATTTTAGGGTAAGGTCTACAGGTGTTCAGGGTCTCACTACTAGATCGGACTCGTAGTGATCCACCTGTTTACAGCCTCCCAAGTGCTGGGATTACAGGTGTGCGCCGCCACGCCCAGTCTCGATTGCCATCTCAGCACGCCCCAGGGGCGGGGCGGGCACCACAGGCCCAGGGATCAAACCCCTGGCCCCTGTGCCTGCTTGTTGTGTCTGTCATTCTTCCACAAAGAATAAACCTACTTTAAAGTAGACCACTATCATTAATTTACTCATTTCCAGATGTAGACAGTGGATTTTACAGGAAAAAATGTAAAATGAGGGCCTATTTCAAAAGGACTAGTACTTTGTATCACTATTTGGTCTGAAAAACTTCAACTTAAGAAACAACGCCAGGATTTAAGATTTTGTCTTTTACCTTTGAACAGAAAACTTTATCTGTTTTAAACCATGATTTTGTAATTCACGGTGGCGCCTGTTCCCTTTGACCTACTTTGTAGGCAGATGAGCTGAGCTTCCAAGCTTTTTTAAAATGGATCCTACACCTTAGGCAACCATAGCTTGCTAAGCAAAACACTATGATAGATAAAGATGGCCACAATTATGAGCTAAACTCTACGACTGGAATGTGAGTGCACAAAACCACTCTGACATGTGACTTGTCACACAGTTTCGAGCCTTCTTGGCGAGTCTGTTCTGCTGCATATGGCACTAACAAGATCTTGTTAGGTCAGAAAATTTATGACATCTGGCATCACTTCAGGACACAAAAGCTACTGTATTCACCTTGACCAAAATAGACTGGCTGCGTCCTTGCTGGAAGCCATCAGAGCAGTTGCAGGCATGCACAAGAGGCGCTTCAAAGTCGGCTGCTGCTCGCAGGCCGATTGCAAGGCCAAAGTGCAAGCTGGGACGAAAGCCCGCAACACCCCGATGAACCTTCTGCGGGCCTCTAACACTACAGGCTTCAAGCTCACTGCTGGACAGGTCACCGCAGATGGACAGTGTAATGTTTCGCTCACATTCGGGCACTTAATCCTCAGAATGACATGAGGTAAGTTGGTACTGCCATGTGTTTTCTGCAAGTAGGGAAACGATATTGCCCAGGGAAAAAAAAATTGTCCAAGTTCATAAATAGAAAATCTGCTAGCGTCAGATCTTGCTTTCAGTCCCCTGACCGCCTACACTTCATGTTCTTTCTAATAAAATAAAACTCATTAAAATTTTCAATTCTAGCAGATGGTCCCATTGAACACTGGCTCCCAGTTTATGGTATTAGAATTATACCTAGAGGGGCCAGGAATAGTTCAATGGCACAAGCACATGCCTGACGCTTAAGGTCCTGAGTGCAATTCCCAGTACCAAAAAAAAAAAAAAAAAAGGAAAAAGAAAGAATTAGAGTAGTAGCTCTAGAATTCCAGCATCACCCAAAAGACTTACTGAAACCCAGACTTCTAGACCTCAACTATAAAATTCCATATAAGCAGGCCAGGAATTATATGCCTATCATGTCCAGATAATACTGACAATGCCTGTGTATGACATACTTTAAGAGCAAATAGCCATCCTGGAGCAGGGCAATCACAAAGGAATATGAACTGAAAGCAGGAACTCAGATATTTGTACCCCGATTCATGACAATTATTCCCCACAGCCAAAAGTGGAAGCATCCCAAGTATCCTCCGACAGATGGCTAGATAAACAAAATGTGCTTGGTATGTGCATACCGAGAATGCTATTTGGCATTTGGAGTAAAATTCTGAGACATGCTACAACCTTGAAGACATTATGCTAAGTGAAGTAAACTGGTCCCAAAGGTCAACTATTGTGTGATTCTACTTACAATGAAATTCCCAAAGGGGTCAAATTTATAAACACAGAAGAGAGAACAAATAGCAGTTGCTAGGAACTAGGGGTGTGGGATGAAGAACAGGGAGATTTAGTGTCACATGTAAGCAGCTGCAGTTTGGGACGATAAAAAACCACTCTGAAGATGTTCACCGTCAAACAAGGATATGAGCATAGTTACTGCCACTGAACTATACCTTTAAAAAATTAAAATGAAAACGTTCACGTTAGTGCACATATGTACTTTACCAAAATAAAAAAGAACATAGAGGTCTGCACGTGCAGCTCCACGGGGGAGCACCTGGCTAGTATGCACAAGGCCCGAGGTTCAGACCCCACCACTGCCAATCCATTAGGCAATCGATACGTTCACAGTCTTCATTGTCTTTTTCTTCAGATCTACCCTCTGAATCCTCTCTGAAGGCTGGCCTGCATTTCACAAAGGACGTGTGCAGAGATGAACTGTTTTACTAGCTTGAATGTTACAGCCAGTGGTCCACACAGCCTTTTTTTTTTTTAATAGTTAAAAAATACTCTCCACTTGTGAGAAGACAAGATATCACTCCTCTATACCCAAACATGAATGTCTTTGACAATACACATCATAAATTTATACCCTGTGACTTTTAGCTTTTATAATAAAGACCTTCCCTATCTTTCAGACCCTACAATAACTTTTTTTTTAATTCTAGGCTCTTACAAAGATTTTTTGAAGACCTGATTTTGTACCTTCTAAATATATTTATATAATGACAAGATAATTTTTAAACAATTTATGTGATTTCTACAAGGCTGTTTGAAACAGGGAAGCACTTTGTTTCAGAGAATCAGAGCCAGTTATTTTAATGAACTCGCTTTACGTCCACTCATGAAAGGTAAAGCTGAATGATAACCAGGTGTGGACCAGAGTTTTAACTTAATTGGCTTGGGGACCCGAAACCAGAGGAAAAGTGGAACACGCCTCCAGGGGTATTTGGTTGGCCAGGGAAGCGCAGCCTGGGGTCCTGAGTCTGGACACCCCTCAGCTTCCTCCCCCACGCTGTTCCCGCTCTGCTCCCAGCGACCACGAACTAAGCAGCTCTGCTGCCCTGGAGCCTCCAACCATGAAGTCCATCTCCTGAGCTTATGAGCTAAATGCAACCACTCCTCCTTTACACTGCACGTGTGGGGCATTCTATCTCAGCAACAGAAGAGCTAAGCAATACATCAGGCATTCTGGTGTACAACAGTGTTCCTGAATGATTTCTTAGGAATGGACCTTAGTTCATTTTTGAATTTTAAAAGGAAACAAGCAAAGAGAAAGGAAAGGCAGGAGAAGAGGAGTGAGTGATATAAAATTATAAATTTTGAAGGGAAAGACATAAAAATTTTATGAACAGAACATACTTGTGATAGACCTCCAAAGTGTTCTTTTCTGAATTCACTGTGGAGTTTTGGGGAGTTTCTGTTGTTGCTTGTTGGAAGGGTGGTCCTGGATAATGAACTCAGGACTTTGTGCTTGTCAAGCAGGCGCTATGCCACTAAGCCACATTCCCTGCTCTATTCTTTTAGGAGAGTCTGTTTTCTGCTGATACAATAATGACCTTCACAGATGAACATAACCGCTGCCGGGTTTTTGTTAAAATTAGATGAGTTTTCATCATTAAGAGAAATACTTGTGAAAGTATTTTGAATGCTAGCAAAGAAATAAAACTAAGAGCAATAGAACACCAAGTCCGTAATGCTCAACTGAACAAACAGAAAAACCCAATCTCTATTCAACTATTTGAATAAATATGTTCTCATAATTTTTTTAATGCCCAGCAGCCCTAAATGCATTCTTTGAGTTCAGTGGCACAGCACCTTCCTGGCAAGTACAAGGTCCTGAATTCAATTCCTGGCACAAAATAAATAAAATACATATATACGTTCATGCATACATACATTCTTCAAGCCAACAAACATTTGCAAATTGAGTTAAATGGTTTCAGAGCCTCTGTCAAGCTCTAGGAATTTCTATCACCTCTTCAAGCGAATTTAAAGCTCACTGAAAAATATTATAGATTAAACGTGAAATTTTCTTTCTATACTAACAAGGTCAGCAAAGTTTTTTAAAAAGTCATCCTTTGAAATTACTCAGTTTAGGGCTCAGTAGAATAAGTGCTTTCCTGGCAATCACAAGGGCCTGAGTTCAATCCCCAGTTCCGCAAAAAAAAAAAAAAGAAATTACTCAGTTTAAATACCTACTATCCAACCAGACTGGCTACCCATATACACGTGAAATGCACTTTCTACAGAAAACGCAATTGTTGACAGGACAATGGTGGCATTTCCGACCCACTCACAGTCTGAAGTATAACGTGAACAAGAATAACGAAGGATCATCACCGTAGATGGGCTTTGTAAAGTGAGTACGACAAGAAAGTTCACAAAAAAATCATTTTGTTTTGCTTTTTTTTCTGAAAATAATCTCTCATACAAAGTTAACAATACAGGTTTTCCAAAAGTATTTATGAAAAATGTGAATGAGGAAAATAACGTTCCAACAGAGTGAAATATTTTACTGTACATCTTTTATTATCAAGGACTTCCGTCAATGTAGAATCATATAATGATTAAAATATACAGTGACTATTCAAATAAAAATTTATAAGAACTTATTACAATAAAAAACACAATGTCATTTATCTCCCCTCAAAACACTCCATCTGGCTTTGAGCACATATAGTCTATCGTTCTTGCCACTTCCTGAAACAATTCTGGAAGTCTTCCTTTGGGACAGTCGTTTTTATGGATGCTACAATGTCCTGTATTCATCTGAAAGGTTTATGACAATTTCTGTCAAATCAAAGCATTATGCTGCATCGTTTATCTTATACACCAGACCCAGCACCATACAACTTCAGGCTCTTCTCCAAAGTATACATAACTATAAAAAGTACACATTTTGAATTGATTCAGCACATTGAGGTAACTATGATAGTATAACTAAAGACACTTAGGAAAGGAATTCCAGAACTGCTTTAGAAAGCGACAAGAATATGGGATATATGTGTATTCAAGGTGAGGGGAAATATTCTGATAAGGATTAATGGCAATGTGATTCGTCCTGTAATAAACTTTCTTATAAAATGTAACTTTCCTGTATTTCTCTAATTTCATATATCAGAGAAAATAAATAAATTTAGAGAAGGAATCTTATTGTGAGATTATCTTTAAATATTAACTAAATTAAAGTTACCTTAGGAGGTCTTTTTAAAAAATGGAAATCTTCAGTGATGCAGCTGAGAACGAAGCAAAGCAATAAGAAAACAGAAACAAGTTTACCTTAAAAATTCTCATTTCAATCTTACCCTTGAGAAGATATTTTCCAGAGAGCTAGTCAAGGATCTCTTTGCTTTATTTTTCAGAATGTCAAGTTTGAACCTTCCACTGCTTGTAGCATTTTCTGGGACTGTACTATTTGAAATAGTCTAGAGAAAGAAAAGTAGAGTAAAATTAGTTTTGACAAATTGAAAGTTAAATGAGGCTTAAGGATAAACCACCAAAACAAAAATTCTTCAGTAGTTCTATTAAGATGTAATAACTTAGGTTCCACTCCATGAACACAAACATTATAATGTTTAATGCTTAATAAAAAAAACAGAAATAATTTATTTTCCTTTCACTTTTTTTTTTTTTTAAATGTATTTGGTACACGATCTCACTACACAGCTCCGACTCATACTGATCCTCTTGTTCTCAGCCTCCCCAACACTGGGATTACAGGCATGCGCCACCACCATGCCCAGACTGGGTCCTTGGCTCAGTGTGCCCATGGGAGGGGCCAGCGCAGCATGCTGTACCAGGGATTGAACCCCAGTGCGTGTGGCTTGCCTAACAGGAGCTTAGGTCTCTGGGCTATCTTGCCGGCTCTTGTTTTCACTAAAATATTCCTACTTTAATGAAAACTAAACTTGAGATGTCAATTTTTCCCTCTTTAGTTATTAACAGCCACCACCCCTTTCCAAGAAATACGGTTTATATGTAAATTACAAAAAAAGAAGAAAGCTCCAAAAAGCAAAGCATTTTGCACAAAACAATGTGACTCTAGTAATGCCTCTGTCATAATTCCATTTTCATTTTGTTCTGTCTTGTTCTTGTTGAGACAGATCTCCCTACAGAGTTTAGGCTGGCCTTAAACACATGACGATCCTCCGGCCTCGGCCTCACAAGTGCTGGGTTTACAGGCAGACACCACCATGCCCAGCTCACAATTCCATTTTCATTCATAAAGTGATTTATTCTCTAGTTTAATAAGTACTCACTCTCAGTCACAGTAGGGTCTGTGACGTGTCCTATATATTAGGTTCTCTTTATCCCACTGTAGCACGCAGCTTCAATGTGTTAGAAATCTTTCAAGAGAGAAGCCTTATGATTTGCTAGGAGGAGGAAGCAATGGCACAGACCATATGTATATCTTGAAAAGGTAAATGTGAAGATCAGCCATAGCTCTCAGTGGTAGGAAGAAAGGATACAGGATGCAGAGAGGCAAGAGCAGAGTCTGCATCCTATATCCTTTCTTCCTACCACAAACACTTGCCCAGAACTGCAGCAGTTGTTACCAAAATTGGGTTAAGTAGCTGAACTCAATGGAAGTAATGGAAGCCAACAGGAGGACTGCAGTGGATGGGAAATCCTGAATGTCATATGTGTCAGGTAAATCTGTATTTCCAAGGAGGGAAGCATCCCTGTCAAAATTATGCTTTAGGAAAATGTATCTCAAGCGAGTGGTCCAAAATACCTAATGATCAGAGAAATCAAGAGTTTGAAAGAACAAGTCAGATGCATGGCTTTTGCATGGTCCAAACAAGAGGCAATAAAGGCCCACACCAGTGCCCACTCTGACAGGTCATTCAAGAAGTTATAAACACAGGACATATGGTAGTGTGAAGACCTAAATGGAATTAATATTTGGAAGGAGTTAACGTACTAAGATCTCCTTCAGTGCTGGTGCTGCGGTCTTGGTATAACTGTGCAGCTGAGAATAAACCCTAGATGACGCGCAGACACGCTACGGGAGGACACACACTCTGTCTTCACCTCCTGGGCTCCTAAGCTTTCAATTTCACATTAATTTGAAAAAAAAGAACAACACACTAACACAACTAAAAATGCATGCTCTATAAGAAGTAAAGCCATGGTGTTGTGTTGAGCTGTAGGGGACTCAGGTCAACAATTTCTGACATTGCCAGTCAAGCGGAAGACCCAATACTACTGTGGGCTACTGGACTCTTTTAGAATATTTTGCTGAGTTAACACACCTATAATACGCAAATGATGGAACTAAACAAAAAAAGGGGATACAGATGAATGTCCATTTTGTATCTGTGTATTTGAAATGGTTAGGATAGATATATAGTTATATTCTCTTAATGAATAGAGAGATTTGTTGTAATCGTGTTTGTAAACAGGATATCATGTCTGCATCTTGTACAGCAAATAACCACTAGGAAGAGAGTATGCAATATGTTAATTATTGAAACTGTCTTACCAATTTGATTTAAAGCTGTCTCATTGCTATTTGTTTCTCAATAAAATTATGGGGAAAAAAATGCATGCTCACTCTACATCCTGAACACATGATTGCTTGTTTGAAACAAAACCATAAATTCATTCATATTTTACAATTATCATTATTTTATCAATGGGCCAGTGCCTGCCACACTTTCCTGTAAAGCTCCTAAAGTGCTGGGCTGGGAGCAGAGGGAGCCTGACAGGATATCAGCCCAGAAGGAAAGAGATGGCTTTCGTATTTCCCATGACATTGCACTCAGATACATGAAAACAACCAAAAAGTAGGTCAGGGAGAAGCTCTCCTCTCACCGACGGGCCTTCCCCGAGGTGCACGTGTGTCTTCTGCTTGGCCTCGCACAGCTGCCTCAGGTGCAGAATCACAAGTTCATTTTCCTCCTGGTCACTGACCGGCTTCATTTTCTGTTGAACAGACAAACCCAAGAGCGCACTATGGCAACCCAGCTCCTCTCGCTGTATTCTCACTTAGCTTTCTCTGTCTGGCGGGAAGACACAAACGTAACCACGGCTTTCCAGTTCACTCATAAGAGTCCCAGACGATATGTACCTGTAACTTCACACAGAGGAATAAAAAAAGGCATTCACAGCCAAGGGATTCATTCAACTGTCATTCTTTATGCTTTACTTATGAGAACTACACATAAGGGTACCTGAACTCGTTCGAAGATGTCGGCTTGCTCATTGTCAGTCAGGGACGAGAGGTGCCTCTGGATGACCAGCTTGGCTCTCGGCGGGTAGAGACCTACGAACAGGACAGGGGAGCATAAGGCAGACTGCACGCCGTCCTCAGCGCACCTCACCTGCTGCAGCAGGCTCCTGAACGCTAACGTTTTCCAAGACATGTGCTCCTGCCCATAACGAAGCCCAGAGCAGGACAGAGAGATGACGAAAACCTAAAGAGAAACCTGCCACCAGATCAACAGCCCCCCTGAGCATGCACGGAGTTAAAAGCACTAACAGAAAACTTCTAAATGGCATCAGGCACAACCAACATATGACTTGGCATCCCAACAAGCAAAGCCACCGCCAAACCTCACAGGTGAATTAACATTACCCTAGGGCCTGGCCCAGAAATAAAAGCCAAGACAGCCAAGTTTACACCTTGATGCCTAAATAAGATGAGGCTGATAAATTAGAGGGCAGGACTACGAGTGAGAAAGTGACCTTTTACCCTCTTGGCTCTTGTACGGTGGGAATAAATGTATGATATCAGTACTAAAGGCACTGTTAGTACTACTGTTTTACCAATAAATTGCTTGCTTCTTCATAGTAATTTGTAATTCCTTTATATTACGCTTTATTTGTATTAAGTGGAAGGGGTTTCCATGAAAACATTTCTGATTTTAATTTTTTAAAGAGAAAGATTAATATAGACATAAAATAATTAAAGTGACCTTCCACTTTTTGGAATAGATTTTCAATGCACAGTGAAATGCAACTTATAACATTGCTACTGAACTTTAGTTATAAAAAGAGGGTTTCTAGCTATATTTAATAAATCGCAGCAGTGAAGGCTACAGATGTCTCTTGCATGTACAAAGACTTGAGTTTCATTCCTAGAACCACAAAAACAAAATGAAATTTAAAAACCCTAATAGATGAACTGGCATTTTCAAGTCATTTGTTATGACAAATCTGTGTTTCACAACTGCAGTGAAATACCTAAATTATATGGTTTTAAGTCATAATTCTAGTATTTTCCATGTATTCATTAGTTCTATTTAGAAAGTGTAAAGTAACTAAAACTATTTCTGATTTACTTTGCTAAGTTGTATTATATAACTAACAAATAATACCATAACACATAAGCATATTGCTCAGTCTATTTCAAGAATATATGTAGCAACAGCTAACTGAAAGTAATGTGTCCATATTTAGCTACTTTTTAAAATTAAAGTATAATCTAGAGCTCTACAGACAGCATGGACAAGATTCACTTAAACTAACCATTATTTTATTTTATATTTTAAAGACAGAAAAAGCAAAAAAGAGGTAAGAACAGGCTAATAGGACAGTAATAATACATTGTATATTGTTATCTTCATAGCAGTTATTTAAAATACAAGAAATAGGCATGAGGGCTGGCCAGATAGCTCAGTGGATTAAAGCACCTGCTTAGGCAGACGCAGGGGCCAGAGATTCGATCCCTAGCCTGCTGTGCCGGCCCAGCCACCGGGGCATGCTGAGACCATGAATGAGACTGGGCATGGTGGTGCTTAGGAGGCTAAAAAACTGGAAGGATCACTAGGAGTCTGATCTGTGTAATGAGATCCTGTAGACCCTGCACTAAATACATTAAAAAAAAAAAATCAAACCAAGATATAGGCAAGAAATATTGTCCAAACAACATTAGCATAAATTTTTCTTTGCAACAAGCAAAAAGTAACAAGCTATAAAACTATATTAAATAGCTTGTATTTGTGTATATATATGTATGTATGTATGTATTTTCTTTTCCCTTTGTTCTTCCCCTTTTTCCCCCACTACAGTTTCTCTTTTCTTTTGAATAGTTTCTTTCCCAATATTGGATCTTATTTACCTGTTCAGCTTTTCACACTAGTGAGATAATATGTTTATACATGTGGATCTGATTTATTTCACTTATGTGTACAGTCTCAAGTTGCATCTATTTACTTACAAAAGGCTCAAGTTTATCTTTCTTTATGGGTGAGTAGTATTCCATTATATTAAAAAATCAAGACCCTCAAATTCAAAGACCCAATCCAAGAATGGGCATTAGAGATGAGCATACACTTCTCAGACCAAAAAAAAATACTAACAGCAAATAAATACACAAAAAAAAAATGGTGAACATCATTGGTCATCCAAGAAATACAAAGCAAAACAAGAGATTCTGCATCACCTCAGAAATACTGGCTACCGCCAAGGAACTGACCAATAACAAATGCTGGAGGGGTGGTGGGGTAGAGGAACTCTTCTCAACTGTGGGTAAGTGGCACAGACTGGTATAACCACTGTGGAAATCAGGGTGGAGATTTCTCAAAACACTACAATTAGAGGCCCCATTTGACCCAGCTATTCCGCTGCTGGGTATCTGTCCAGAAGAATTTAAAACATCGTACCACAGTGGTAAGTGTGCGCCCGTGTTTATAGCAGCACAGCTTGTCATAGCTGAATCCTGGAAACAACCCAAATACCCATCAACTGAGGAATAGATTAAAAAAAGATGTGGTTATTTTATATAATGGAGTACTCCCTGTTTTAAAAGAAGCAGAATTGACCTACTATAACCTCAATATTGCTGCCCCTGTTTCATATGGAATTTAGACACAGCACGTATTTCTAAGAACAGGGCATCAAAACCTCTCAACTCTACCTTTGTGCAGCACACAGCAAAGCTGTGAAAATCCCTGCACTCCGCACACTCACATACAGAAGACTAAAATGCATATTGATGGCAAGGCATTCCTCACAATCTTAGCCTAGTACTTACTACAAAGGGCTACTCAAAAGGTTCGCAGACAACATCCCTGGATATTAATTCACACCCCTAGATGACAAGGACAGATGATAGGAGGTTCGCACACACTGTGGAGACCAGGGCGGGGCAATAACAAATTGGACCCTGAAACCAAAAGTCACCAGGGAGCTAGTGAAGAGCAAATGAAGTGTTTCTTTTGGACAATAAAATTTTATCAGTTAATCTCCTGCTCTGATGATTTCTGCTCTGCTATACATAATATGTTATAAAGGGAGGAATACTTAGAAAAACGTTGCAAGTGCTCTATAACTCTACAAGGTCAAAGATTTTTTGTTTTTTTAATGTATTGGTACAAGTTCTCGCTATGCAGCTCAGACTCATATTACAAATACATATATACATGTATAACATATATAGTATATACATATATATTACGTACTCATTTTACATATATATTTAGTACATGTTATTTAGCAAATAATTTCTTTACTCAACAATATAATTTTAAGGTATATCCACTTTGGCATACAGTTCCAATTCATTCTCATCAGCTGCTATATGACTATATTTCACTTACAATGCCGAGGACCTTTCAGTTGTTTCCCAATTATTTGCAACTATTTCCATTACTTGCAAATAATGCAACATAAAAATGTCGCTTTTTACACACATACGTGAAGTTTTTCTGATCAAGACATGGAACTTTTGGTTGACACAGCATGTACAATTTTAGGTTAATTAATTCACAATAATTCTCCCCCCCACCCCAGGAAAGGCTAGTTCTTAAATATTATGTAAATATACCAATATCCCCAAAATTTCACTAGTAGTTGATCTCATGAGTATCTTATTGTTCCAGATGAGAACAAGTAAGATTCATAACTTCTCATTTTCATTACTGGACTATTTAATTTCCTTTTCTGAGAATGCTTTTAATATGACTTGTACAACTGCCAACTGAATAATATCTTTTCCTTACAAATTAAGGTTTTTGTAAATTGTGGATATTAATCTGCTATCTCATTTGGTGCTTACTACTTCTCCCATCTAAGCAGGGATTGATATGTAGATACATCATATTTTTCAGTAAGTCAACTCTCTGAGTCATATTTTAAATCTTTAATTTTTTGTAGCTTACTAAAGCCTTCCTTTCTTAAGAAATATGACTATTCTTTTTTTTTTTTTCCTTTAATGATTTTTACACAGAAATTTGTGGTCTACCTATGGTGCCTTTTAAGTTGGATAAATGGAAGGGATCCTTTCCCCTTTGGATACCTCCTGCCCAGCACCATCTCCTTGGTCATTCAGCTCCCCAAACTTGACATAAATTTACAAGGCTCCATTGAGTGTACACAAAACAATATAGTTTTTCCACTGTATGTCTTTCAAAAACAATCTGCATTCTATAAAATAATGGTGATGAGTTTTAAATCTGAGTATTATATCAAAGTAGCTTTGGATCACACAGTTGTGTGGATAACACTGCTGCCCATCACTGCTGTTGCCACTGGCTCTGATTCCACGATCCACACAACTGAAATCACAGCTTGAGTTTGTGGTAAGTAGAGGTACCTCCCTCTTCTGCTCTGGAGGCTGTACTCTTTCCATCTGTTATGCTGAATTAAATTTCTTTGCTCCCAGTGCCTGCCTTCTACTCTGGATTGAAAGCTTTCTAGAGGCCCAGGCCATATGTCAAACATTTCTGTATCCCAGTAACCAGCGCACTGCCTGGTCCATAGTGGCCATAGCAGACACTTAACTTACTTTTATTAAATTCTGTCTCCTTTTGTGCAAGTTTTCAACATTTTTTGTCAGGACAGATAATGAAGGGAAAGGAAAGCTGAACCATGGGTCACCTCTCCTTTGTGCCCTTTCTTCTCCCTGGAATACATTTTTTTTAAAACCTGCTTCATGCCATCACCTCCACAATCTGTCCTTCACAGATGCCCCTCAAAGGCCAAGCAAGTTTCACTACAGTGCTACACTTCTAGAGGCAAAGAGTAAGCATACATCACCAAGTGAGCGGAAACAAAAAGAACTAAACAGACTGTATTGGCTTGGCCTCCCTTCATTTGTCCAACAAATATTTGCTCAGTTCCCACTGCGCACACAGCAGGGAGTTAAGAACTGTGGGAAATACAAGTCCCTTCCTGAAGGGCATTCATAAGGGAAAAAGGAGGGCAAAAGAGCGGGAAAGTCAAGCGCCTAGCAGAGGCTGACAGCCCACTCAAGTCTCCTTGGCCATGAAAAATGATTCTCTGAGCTCGTTTCCTACAGAAACAAAGAACTATTCAGTGACAGTAGGGACTCTCTCATTTCCCAAAGGCCAAAGCGAACTCCTCTCTGGCAAGGCCAAGTCATAGCGTACCTTCAATCCTTTCACAGAGCTTGTGCAGAGAGTGCATAGGGCAGGCCTCACACAGCTTGATCTGGGTCTTGGCACTCTGCAGCGCGGCAGCCGTGCTGAAAGCTTGCTTCAGAGTCAGCATGACCTCATCGACCTACAGGAAGGAACAAAACCCATCTCTACAAGTTGGCTTTCATGGGAACACTAAGACCCAACAGCAATGTGAGCTTTTGTGGATGCTGACTAAACAATAATAAAATTCTGATGGCTACAGAGCTGCCAGAGAGCAAATATTAAGTCTTGACGTTAGACCTCTCATCTGTATTATTGAAAGCTGGATGAAATAAGACCATTTCAATGTGCATAATGTAATACTCGTCTGTTACGAGAATGCTACTTTCAAATCCCATGGAGCACTGTATTATCACAGACACTTTAATTATTAGATCAGGTTTTTGTTTAATTAAATGGCTTATCAGATAAAATCTTCTTTGGAAGTTCTGTCAGCTATATACAGTATAAAGACACTTTTACTTGTGTTAATAAGTACCCTTCTTACACTAATCTTATGAGTCATTTTTGTGTAAAGCCAAACAAGGCATGTGTTCAGGTGGCATTTGGGAGGAAAAGACTTCAACTTAATCAGTGGAAAACGACTATGAACTTAGCTACTCTTATTGCTACAGCTTCAGATTTATTATGATTTCGATTCTGATCTCTGGCACTAGAAAGTGACCTCACAGTGTCTGACAGCGGAGCCTCAGCACAGGCCAAAAGCTAGGAAACCACCAGCTGGTTTCTTCTTGCACTGCCACCGATGGGGTCAAGAAATCTCAATGCAACCTGCTAATTTCATGGATGATTTTTTGAAACCAACTAACAACTCAGCCTCAGTCACTGTGAAACCACCCCCGACTCCTGTGAAAGTCACCAGCCTAAGAAGTGATTTTTCCCACACGCTGTAGAACTTAGTTCAAATTCTAAAACCTGTAAGGCACAGCTATTGAATCCAAGCTTGGCAAATCATTTCTGCTCTTTCCCCCCATATCCTTGTTTAGGAGCAAGTTACTTAAAGAACTTAATTTCTCCATTGGAATACATGAGCAAACTGGGATAAAAAGAAACTTTATCCATTTAATACTACTGAAAGCAATGAGCAAATACTAAGCAGTTAACTTCTATTGTCATATTTTATTGTATAAGAATCCTTAAAGAGACTTAAGAATAATTTGATAGCACTGCATAAATCAAAATAAATTATTCCATTTTATACTATAATTTAAAATAAAAACTTAATTCTTACAAGTAAAAGCTCAGCATGTTTAATGACTAATTTTTATTTCATTTGCTTTGCTCAGTTTTAAAGGCAATTTAATTATTTATGCAAACATTCATTTTGTATTTTCTTGTTTTCTATTTATTTAAAACACTAGTAAGTAATATAAATAGTTCTCATAGAGATTATTAGTTATGTAATAATTCTGCATCGTAAAAGACCTCTTGGAAATGCTGAGTATTTATGCTATCTTTATTTCTAAAAAAAAACACGAGACTACTTCAGTGTGATCTGAAATATAGTGCAATGTCACCTGATCAAAAATACTGCTTAAAAGTTATTTGACTAATAAAATGTTAAATGTTTTATTTTCAAAATCCGTCACATTTTCCAGATGGCCTATAAAGTCAATCATGAGATCTGTGTGCCTAAAAGTTCAAATCAGTTCACCATGATTACAACAAAAAAAAAAAAAAATCATAGGTCATATCAAAAGGTTAAATGCAAAGTTATGACAAAGATTAATCAACTATATGTAAACAAAAACAAAGTATTCTTGGCATTTCCATCCAGCAAATTACAGTTCCAGCGAAAAGCACTGAGTCTGGACAAAGAAAATTTATGTATGGGGGGCCGGGGAGATGGCGCAGTAGAATAAGCGCTTCCCTGGCAAGCACAAGGGTCTGAGTTCAATCCCCGGTTCCGCCAAAAAAAAAAAAGAAAAAGAAAATTTATGTATGATACTAAGGAAAAACCTACGATAAATATAATGTTCCTAAGTATTATATGCCAAACGGGAGTATATTTCATTTTAGAATAAGTCTAAGAATCATACAATGTGTCAAGACTTAACAATTCAAATTACCTAATAAAGTATGAAACCAATCCTACTTTAACAGTTGTTACCAATTGTGGTTGGTCTGTTTGAGTTCTGTATCTGTTAGATTTTAAGCCCATTTACTACATGCTACACTGTGTGTAAGTTTTCACATGCTTGTTCATATGGCGAAGTCACATCTCAGGCTTCTTGTTTGGGGGTTAAGTGATGCCAATTATTTGTGTCATGCTTCAGACAAAATAACTCATCAATTATTGCTTCTCCCTCGTGTATCTGCAACTTCTC